TCCATTCCTAGGCCCACACTGCAACTGGTGTATGTTTTTCAAACTGCCCCAGATTAAACTTTTATTAGCTCTTTGAAGACACTTAGTTTGCCTTGGACATTTTCAACAGTGACAATATTGTATTTTTCTTATCCAGATAGCTTTCTTCTTGCTACTCAGTGTTTCACAACCAAAAGGTACAGTAAATTTTTTCTTAATGCATGACAAAAATATTGAATTGCATAAGATTGGGGGTCTTGTTATTGCCAGAATTATGAAATGACCATGTGAAAAAATGTAGGGGGCTAGCAGCCTGTACCTAGTTAATCAATATCCCTAATGCACATTCTCGTTAGCCTATAATCAAGTCACCGCCCCTTCCTTAATTATCTGGTCTTGCAAGGCCTATTTACCTAAATACTCCCAATTTACAAGGGCCATAAACAAAGGATGTAACAGCTTAACTAGAGGGAGGTCACTGGCGCCATCCAGGTTAGGCACTTAGATACAATCTGAATTCCCCATTCTAACTGACTTAGGAAGGGCTGTGAAAGCCCACCCCAGATGCCTGGTAGTTAGGAAACAAAGAAACTCAGGAATATATATAAGGAGAAATCTCACTGTATGCCAGAGGCCGGTCCATCCTTGTTGCTTGACACAGTCGCTGCAGGGAAGAAACATCTGCACAGCATATGTTTCAAGGGACCTGGCGTATATGGCATACTGTTCTTAATATGTTTGCTCCCCTTCTTAGTGCTATGTGTTCTAACCAGGGCCACCTCCCCGAGAAAGGTTGTTTCCCGGGTGGGGATATTACCCTGGAGTTAGGAACTGACAGGACTAAGGAAGGGAATAAATTAGTAAAAACCCCCTAGTGTTACAGAAATACCGTGTACTACTTATGAAGAACTTAGACCAGTGGTAAGCAAACTGCGGCTCGCAAGCCACATGCGGCTCTTTGGCCCCTAAGCCTTAAGAGTACCCTAATTAAGTTAATAACAATGTACCTACCGAGAACCTGACTATGCTGATCATCTGAACGCTGTGTCCATGTCCTTCATTCTTCAAGGACTCGGTCCACACCTTTGGGAACCCCTGGACCCCTGGGGCTGGACCCCGGCAATTGTATAAGTTGTTCAGCCTTTGGATCTTTTGAGTCCCCTGAGCCAGCAGCGATGCTTTGATCAAAGGCCTCTTTCCTGATACCTCCAACTGTTTCTTCCTTGGAGCCAATTCCACAACAACCAAGGGTGTCTGGACAGTCAGCTCCCTGGGAATTCCGGGGACCAGGGAGCTCATTGCCAATTGCTTTATATCATAATTATTATTAAAAACAAGTTGTACGAGTTATAAAGAAAAGCAAGGAAATGATTCATATAAAAATCTGGAGAGAAGGACCAGGAGAGTGTTTCCTTTGGGAAGCGGGGAGGGAGAGGTAGGGAAATTACCTTCGTATAATCAGGACTTTCCTTCTTACTTTGTAATTGTCCATCTACTTCTTAGAAGCCCATCAAAAAGCCCCACGGATCAAGCTAGGCTAAGTTCATTGGAACTACAATAAGGAAAGACACCACCTTGATAGAATCTTAGTAGCATCTCAAAAAGAAAAACCTAGCCGAAACCGGTTTGGCTCAGTGGATAGAGCGTCGGACTGCGGACTGGAGGGTCCCAGGTTCAATTCCGGTCAAGGGCATGTACGTTGGTTGCGGGCACATCCCCAGTAGGAGATGTGCAGGAGGCAGCTGATCGATGTTTCTCTCTCATCGATGTTTCTAACTCTCTATCTCTCTCCCTTCCTCTCTGTAAAAAATCAATAAAATATATTTAAAAAAAGAAAAAGAAAAACCTAAAGACAGTATTTCTAGGGTTTTAGGATGAGGGCAAGGTGATTTTATAATGGACCTTAAAAAGCAGGGAATTGAGTAGGATTAGACAAAGTGTGCCCATACTGGCTTTTAGTTGTTTAGAAGACCCAGATGACAGTCATAAGGTAACTATTTGTTGTAATGTACCCCGCAAATCACACAAGGATGCCTCAAGAAGTCGAATTAAAGAGTCACATTTATTGCAAATCCAGGACTATGGGGGAGCATTTCGCTCTCCCAGATCTCACAGTGCCTGCCCCAGCCCCAACACCAGACTTATATAGGCAAAGATCACAAAGGTATTGATCACATCCCAAGGTTTGGAATGAGGAACCTGGTTTGCAAAAAGCAGTTTACAGAAGCAGAAGCAGCATGTTATCTAAATTATAGTTTTGGGTCTCCAGATCACTGAATTGACAGAAACACATTATCTAGAGCTCTCAGGTCTGGAATGAGGAACCTGCTTTGCAAAAAAGCAGTTTACAGAAGCAGAAACAGTTTACTTAAGCATGTTATCTTAATTACAGTTTTTGGGTCTCCAGAACACTGGAGTCAACAGGGACACATTAATTGGAGCCCTCTGACCTTGGGATAATTGTGCTGTCCTTCCCACGTAAAGGAAAATGTGCTTTCTGAGACCAGTATGACCACAACCCATGGGATATTCACATTACAATCAATAGGGTATTTAATCGAATGGGGTGATTTATATAATTCAGAAAATTAAAATAACTTTTTTATTATTTTAGTAAGAAAATAAGTACAGAAACCAAACAGCAGGGTTAGAGTTAAACTAAAGTTTCTAACTGAGATGATTGCTACCATACTTCATATTGACCAGTAAGCTTGATGAATAAGCCGTTAGTTGGTTCATAATTTTGCTTTCTATGAGCAAGTATTTCTTAGAGAGAGTATCAAAGTTATTTTTGTTTGATCTTAGTATTGTTTAGCACAAAAGCAGAAAAGACTGCTTCATTCCAGAATCATTTAACACAAAGACAGGGAAATATATTGGTTTTCGTTATTATAACTATTACCTAAGATACAAATAAGATAGAGAGTGAAGAATGTTGGAATACTTTTATTGAAGTTATAATTCCCACTGGCATCATGATGGGAGATTGTAGCTAATCTCAAGTGTGACTAGAGTTGGAAATGTAAGGCCAGGGAGAAGCCTCTCCCTCCCCCAGACCTTTCTTGCAAGCCCCGGCCCTAGTGTAGTCATAGCAGAGTTATTTTATCTCTTCCTGGGATCGGTCTGTGCTAACTGACCTTTCCAGTAAGCCTGGTGCTCTGGTGTAGTCACAGCAGAATTGTTTTATCTCTCCCTGGGGTGGGTTTATGCAAGACAGACCACCCTGGCCCCTCAGGAAATGACTCAACTGCTAACACAGGCCTGTCCCCTCAGGAGATGAGTTAACTGATAACCCAGTTTCCTGACATTCCAGGCCACCTGTGTGTGGTTTACATTCCAGGCCACCTGCATGTGGTTTTTGCCTTTATAAACTCTTGTTCTGCAATTGCTCGGGGCTCCAGTCAGCCAGCACTTCCCTCGGGTTGCTGCCTGCCTGCCTGGGAGCCCCTGCGCTGCGCTTGTAATAAAGAACCTCTTGCTTTTGCATCAAGTTCTGGTCTCTGCGTTTGACTCGGGGTCGTCGCCTCCTCCGTCGGACTCTCCGGGGGTCTTAGGGCCTTACAGAAACACAAATATTTTTCTAGATGATCCCCTAAATATGTCACGATATCTTCTATAGGAGCATAACTCCAACTCAAGCAAGTCTTTTTTTGATCTTAATAGCTAACATACAATAATAAACACTTTGTGCAGGGTAGTAAGGCCACAAGAATACAGGTGAAAAAAGAGAATGTACATTTGCTGGTAGCTGGAGGGTCAGTCAGAAATTGAGATGGCTCACTTCCCTACCCCTTTCTGATAACAGAAATTTTATGGGTAATAAAGGACATAAAGGAACAAGAAAACAAAAATGTAACCTGTGCACCCAGCTGGCATGGCTCAGTGGTTGAGCATTTAATAGGGAAAATGGGACATTTTCGGGGGGCTAGCAATCTGAATTAGTCCCAGTAAGCTGCTTTCTACTGCACTCTCTTACTAGCCGATAATTAACTTCATTTGTGAAAGAATGTGGGAGACAGGTCTGGTCCGTCCTTAGTTCCTCCCATGCCAGGTGTCTCCTGGTTATCTAAGCGATGCTGTGCTCAAGGCTGCAAGCTTTCTACAAGATATCTGCTAAGCACAATAAATCTTTCTCTGCCCTGTTTTGTTCTTTTTAACTCCTTCAATATATATAGAGAAAATCTCATTGTCCAGGCTATTCAAGATCTGGATCTTAGAGTCCCCTGAACCAGCAGCGCTGCATTAAAGGCTCTTTTTAGAACCTCACAGTGTCTGACTGTCACTTCCACGCCAATTTCATAAATTCTATATTCATAACACATTGGCCAGTCTATTATTATCAGCCCTTTACCACCAGTGACATCTTGAATTGGAAACATCACACCCCAGCTTATTCTGAAAAACCTCAGGCCATGATAGACCTCCTAGAAATGATCTTCCAGACCCAGAAGCCCACCAGGGTGGACTGCAAGCAGCAACTTTTCACATTCTTTAACACTGAGGAGCACATGAGAGTAGTAACAGAGGCTCAGAAGTGGCTCCAGACCCAGGCCCCGGCAGGAATATTAGATACAGACAGACGGGCCAGGAAGGCCTTCCCAGATGAGGAACCCGATTGGAACCCGAACTCAGAAGATGGAATAACCGGGCTAGAAAGATATCGGCTGACCGTCCTCCAGGGGGTCAGGGCCGGAGCCAAGAAGCCCATCAACATGGCTAAAATCTCTAGGTTTTCCAGAAGCTTGATGAAAGTCCAGCAGCTTTCTATGAGCGACTATGTGAGGCATACCGGATCTACACCCCCTTTAGACCTGTGGCCCCAGAAAATCAAACCATGGTAAATGCCACTTTTGTAGGCCAAGCCTAGCCTGACATCAGGAGAAAATTACAGAAACTGGAAGGGCTTGCAGGAAAGAATGCTACTGAACTGCTAGAGATAGCTAACAAGGTTTTCATCAATCGAGACAGTGCAGCACGGAAGGAGGAAGGCAAGAGAATACAAAGAAGGGCCAATATAATAGCAGTGGCTTTTAGAGGCTCAGGCTCCCAGACAGATCAGCAAGGATACAGACCAGGTTGAAAAGGAAGAGCAAGCCTGAGATGAGACTAGTGTGCCTATTGTAAGGAAACTGGACACTGGAAAAATGAATGTCCCAAATGGCAAAGTAAAAAGACTGGGCCCCCTTGGCCCACACAAGCCCAGGGTCAGAATGAAAATTGGGGGCCGGACTGTGGACTTTATGGTTGATACAGGAGCTGAGTGAGCACTCAGTAGTCACACAGAAAGTAGTACCTCTCTCAGGAAAGGAGGTCACCATTATTGGAGCTACTGGGGACCAGACCTGTAGACCATTCTGCCGCCCTAGCTGATGCCAACTTGGTGGTCATCAAGTAATTCAAGAATTCCTGTATTTGCCAGACTGTCCAGTGCCTCTAATGGGTAGAGACATTTTAGCCAAAATGGGGGCAGAAATCACTTTTGCTCCAGATGACTCAGCACAGCTTCACCTAGGTGAGGAGACCTCCTCAGTCCTTAGCAGTGCCGAGGGAGGAAGAATGGAGAGTTTATACCCTCCAGACAAAGGCCTCACCATTAGAACCTGAATTAGAGAAGGAATTCCCACTAATCTGGGCAGAAGGGAATCCTCCAGGCCTGGCTAAGGACCATGCCCTGGTGCTAATCGAGTTAAAGTTGGGGCACAGCCTGTTAAAATCCGCCAATATCCAATTCCAAGGGAAGCACGCCTAGGAATCCAGGTCCACTTAGACAGGCTGCTTCAGTGGGGACTTGTTAAATGATGCAGGTCTCCATGGAACACACCTATCTTACCTGTCAAAAAGCCTGGGACTAACGACTACTGCCCGGTGCAGGATCTACGGGCTGTTAATGAGGCAGTTATAACCCTGCATTTAGCACTGCCGAACCCCTACACTCTTCTGGGACTCATCCCATCAGAGGCGGAATGGTTTACATGCTTAGATCTGAAAGATACCTTCCAGTCAGCCTCTCTTCACTTTTGAATGGGAAAACCCAACTACAGTGGCCAAGGAGCAGTGCACCTGGACCAGACTGCCACAAGGGCTCAAGAACTACCCTACTCTTTTTAGTGGAGCACTAGCATCTGATCTAAGTTCCCAGGACAGGACTTGGGGTGTGTTCTACTCCAGTATGAAGACGACCTCCTACTGGCCAGCTCCACACGAGCTCAGTGCTGGGAGGGAACACGAGCCCTTCTGAGACTACTAACTGAAACAGGTTATAGGGTGTCTAAGAAAAAGGCACAGATTTTTCAGAGAGAAGTCAAGTATCTAGGCTTCTGGATCACCCAAGGGAAACAAATGCTAGGGACTGAAAGGAGGCAGGCAGTATGTGCCATCCCAGTCACTAGCACCCAGCGGCAGATTCGGGAATTCCTGGGAGCGGCAGGATTCTGTCGAATTTGGATCCCGGGGGTTTCAGACCTGGCCAAGCCTCTCTATGAAGCTTTAAGAGGAGAAGAGAAGGCACCCATCGACTGGGGTCCTGAACCGGAGAAAGCCTTCGTCACCATAAAGGCAAAGCTCACTGAGGCCCCGCCACTAGGGCTACCAGATGGGACATAAGACTTTAATTATTTTGTTCACGAGAACAGCGGGGTAGCCCTATGAGTTCTAACCCAGGAGTTTGGACCCTGGCAAAGACCAGTAGCCTATCTCTACAAGCGGATTGACCCAGTTGCCTCCGGGTGGCCCCGTGCCTCAGGGCCCTTGCAGCCACGGCATTATTAGTCAAGGAAGCAGATTAGCTTACCTTAGGACAAAAGTTAAATGTAGAAGTACCTCATGCTGCTGATGGAAGCAAGCAGGTAGCACTAGCTGAGTCATGCTCAAATGACTCAGTATCAAGGGCTGTTATGTGAGAATCCGCGGGTATGATTCGAAGCAGTGAGAACACTTAATCCTGCCACCTTTCTACCCATCACTGAGGGGGCCCCTGAGCATGATTGCCTGGAAGTCCTAGAGGAGGTTTATTCCAGCCGGCCAGACCTAAGGGATAGGCCCCTGCAAAACGCGGACTTGGTATTGTTCACAGATGGCAGCAGCTTCTTAAATGGAGGAAAAAGACGAGCTGAATATGCAGTGGTATCAAACTTTGAGACAATTGAAACACAGGCCCTGCCTGAAGGATGGTGCCTTGTAAGTCTTACTCCTCAAAAACCTTTGGAAGCCCTAACTGGTTTGGCTCAGTGGATAGAGCATCGGCCTGAGGACTGAAAGGTCCCAGGTTCGATTCCGGTCAAGGGCATGTACCTTGGTTGCGGGCACATCCCCAT